CACCTCACGGTCAATAGGGCAGGGTTGAGTTCGGGCCCCAATCCTGTTGCGCTAGCACATAACCCAGCTCAGTTCGGTTTTCTATGCTGACAAGACAGGAGTACTTGGCGTCAGAGTATTCCTTCTATAAAAGGGTCCAGAATGCGAGTTGAAAAAGACAGGAGAGAGATCCCAGAGGAAAAACCCAAAAAACACTCCTTGTAACACCCAAAAAGATCTCCTATAATTAGAAAGGGAAAGAGGATTTGCTGGATAATAACCGGAACTTATGTCATTTATTTCCTTTGAGTGATCTTTTATATCTTAAGTTGGCTCTAACTTTGCAGATTCAAACTTGGACGTCAACAAATTCAAATAGTAAAAATTTTAAGTACTCAAACATGCTCTTTATATTTAACACTTAATTTTATTACTCCCTAAAATATTTATTGGTTTTCCCTACATTTTATTTTCACTAATTCCCTTCGAAATTAATATATTATTTCTCTCCGTTGAAAATTGAAATATTTTGAATGCATTTAATTTTAGAGAGTGTGATTAACATAATTTTTAGGGTTGACTCTTTGAAATAAAGAGTATCCTTTGTTTAAACATTTTCTCGAAGATGCTCTAATCCCCTTATAATTTGAAGTCAAACATTATAATTTTAACTAAACATTCATAATTACTAACCCCTTATTATCTGCACATTTATTGAAACTCATTACTCTTCATTATTATCTCATTATATCTTTTTTCACAAAACAATGTGAATTACCTTATGGAAGGTCCCATTAATTATTAGATTTGTTGACATTTAATGATCGTTTCTACATCAACTCTCTATACAACAGCAAATTATGCACCTCTTTAAGCATGCTCTTATCTCCGTGGATACCCCAATTTCGTATTCATCCATTTCGTTTTCTCCTTGTGAAAACATTATGATTAGGGGTTTGTTTGCAATCATGATGCTTATGTTTCATGTTCATGGAATCCCACAAGAAAAAGATCAAAACCTCATAAAAACGACTTGCAGAAACACCCCAAATTATCAACTATGCATATCTACTCTTAGAGCAGATCCCACAAGTATCAATGAAGATGTCGCTGGTCTTGGTCTTATAATGGTGGCTGCTGTGAAAGCCAAGGCGAAAGAAGCGATGGAAGCCATTAAAAAACTCAAGGTGTCTGGACCAGAGCTGAGAAATGCATTGAACGATTGTTCTGGTAGGTACAAAGCAATTTTGGTGGGTGATGTACCAGAAGCTGAGAAGGCTTTACAAGGGAATCCTAAGTTTGCTGAAAATGGCATGGCGGATTCATCTATAGAAGCCATTGCATGCGAGCAAAATTTCAAGAAGGTTAAATCACCGTTAACAGGACTTAACAACGCGATGCGTGATCTCTCGGATGTTGCTAGAGCCATTATCAGAAATTTACTTTGACTGTGTGTTTGACGAAATGCATTGGACAAAGTAAAAAAAAAAAATAATTTGTCTTCCAAAAATAAACTAAGGATTGTGATATGATTTTCCTAGTAATGGCTAAAATTATAGCTTGCTTTCTTTGCTAGCTCTTTTTCCATCCTTTGTTCTGGATTAAATATATTTTTTCTCTCTCTCTTTTTTTTTTTTCCTTTCACATAAGAGAATCACATCAATCGATCAATTTTAACAACTCATCTAAGCCCCAAACAAGGTGGAAAGAGAGTTAGATCAGACAGGAGAATGAATAACCATTATACATATCTTCTCATAGAATCATGCTATCTTTAGCCCAATGGAGGCAGTTTCTCCAATTGGAATTTGAGATACCTAAACTTTTGGTTTTCGCCATCAAAAATAAAAAAGAATAAAGAATAACTGCTTTCATTGCAGTTTCATGGATGCTTTTTCTACCACTACAAGTATATATAATAAAATATTAGATATTTGCAATAGAAACATTGAGATTGTTGGGACAACTGTACTACTGGCCCTATACTTGAGGATAATATTGATTTAAAAAAGAAGAAAATGTTGGAATTTGGTTTAGAAAATGAAAATAAAATGAAGTATGGAAAGTGACTTTTTGTGTCAATTTCGATCAAATATTTGGACTTGATTCGATATTCAAATTATGAATATAAATAAACTAACTTGTTCTACTCGTCAAGTAGATCGTCGTAGTATATTTGGAATCTCAAAATCAATTCCAGAGAGAAATTGCAATCCAAAGTTGGATAGAAAATATGATATACGGGCTTGAGAAATGTCTAACTCTATCGTTCGTCTATTGCTCGAAGGATAAATGGTTCATTCCATCGCTCACCTATCCTTCGAGCAAGCTCAAGCGATAAGATTGTCTTGAGCGACAGTTTAGCGATTGACGATGAAGAGAGGCTCTGATGAAAAAGTGTCACTCTCGATCGGGCGAGAGGTCAGGGACAAGCGAGCAACAGCAAATGCTGCGACCTTTGACAAATGTTGTTGAGTTTGGGGTGCGAAACTTCATTTATAACCTTTCCTCCTCTATAAAAAGAATAATTTGGACGTCCACTATGCATCCCATATCATTTACATTGAGCAAGACATCAAAAACTCTTGCAAAATACTCCCAAAAGTCATTCTAAAATCATTTTCGTATAGAGAGAAAATTTCGTTCTAAATTCGTTGTAGCTTGTGATTTGAAATACTTCTACTACAAGTTGTATCCGTTGTATCTTGGGAGACAAGTGACGTAGTCCGTTAACATCGTTGCAGGGCAATATTATCTTTAAGGAGAGAGTATTTTCACTTGCCTCGGATTTGGTTCTTCACTTTTGTTTTCTTCTTGTTACCTTCTTTATTTCATTTTTAGAGTTTAATTACGCTCCTACGAA